TTACGTAACGTAAGGTACGTACTAGTATACTATATATATATATATATATATATATATATATATATATATATATTATGTGTATATAGAGGTCTAAGTAAACCTCCATTTAGATGTAATGAAAAGTTTTAAATTTTTCGCTAAATTTTACCTATGAATGTAATGATGCAAGCTAAGAGGCTAGTCTTAGTCCTCAAAGAGGACAACGATGCTGGTTACGTCTAGGGGGTATTCTCGAATGTGACATTAAGATAAATTATTAAGTATGGAAATGATTTTGGATATCAATTAAGGTCAGTAGAATCTCCTAATACTAAGTTGAGTTTAAAACTTCTTTACCAATTATGTTTTGGTCTAAGATTTTACTTGGGTCAACTTCAAATGAACGTATCTCTATGAATATAAAGATTTACATCGGCCATAATTTTTCAACTTGAAGGTATTTGAATAATCTTTCCAAAACCACCAATTTCCCGTCAATCGTATTTATGAGTGAAAAGTTATGGCTATTTTAGTAACTTATAAAGTGAAATTATGAATTAGCCAACAGAACAATATTTAAAAGGGTCATTTTTGTCTTTTTACATCTAAGTAAACCCTAAGCGAATTTATTTACTAATAGAAGTCTGAAAAAAATCAGATTTGAATCTCATAATCCATCGTTCTCTTCTATCTCTAAAACCTAATGAAAAATCAAAGTAGAGGACTTCATTAAAGATTCTTTCAATATTCCTAAAGATTCTTCTTCAAGGTAAGTTATTCTCAAAGAATTTCATTCTTTCCACCTCAATTTCCTCCTAATAATTATGAATCACTAATGAAATATCATAATCTTGGTCATAGAGATTTCAAGAAACTAATTCAAGAATCTGAACAAACGTTTTCTTGATTGTTTACCTTCAATCTAGGGTTTCAACACTTCTAATGGAATTATTCTTCAATATTCTTCAAGATCCTTGCTCTTCCAGGTATGTAAGGATATTTTCACATCCGGGTAGCACCCCCTATATATAATTGGCATCGTCGTCCTCGAAGAGGACTAAAACTAGCCTCTTAGCATTCATCATTACATTCATAGGTTAAAATGCGGAAAATTCAAAAAATTTCATCTACATCTAAAAAGAGTCAAATAAACATGAGCATAAGACCTTACACAATATAGAAATGTCACTTAGGGATTACAACAATATCTTGAAACAATATGAATGAAAATATTGTCTTTAGACTGTGACAATGTAACAAAGGTAGAGTAATGGAAAGGCATCATTCTCAGAACAAGAGGATATATCCACACTTGGAATGATTCCAAGCCTTGCTTCGAAATTTTTCACGAACCGTTCAATGACCGGAATCTAAAATGTTGGGGGGAAATAGACAAATAGGATAAGCACATCACTTTTACTAAGTATGGAATCATATGCACATACAACATAGAAATCATGCTTAAAAGGGACATTTATTAAAAACAATCAAAGTCACTTTCAAAAGCCTTATGCATATTCATGAATCAAGACAAGTCAATAAACACATATTTCTTAAATTAAGACCATGTACATCACAAGACCAACAATACCAATTCTAGTCAAGTGAACATGCATATCAACATAATTGAGCACATAATCAAGACAACTCTATCATACTTTTGTAATATCAACAAGAACGTGTAAGATTTAATAACATCGTAACCAAATCAAGACCATTACTCAAGGAACCCCCATTAAGTCCACTGGTGCAATGACTAAGTAATGCCCCATAACCTCACTCAATCAAGTAAACCTAACAAGAACCATAAGTAATGCCCCCAACCTCACATTATATATCATTAAGAGTAAAGATCATCATAATTTAGTAATAGAGACCAACCACATGTTCATAAGTGAAAGCAATGTCACATAGTGTCACTAACATGTAAAATCATAATATAAATATCATTTACATTTATAAGCATATAAGTACATAAGAATATCCTTCTAAGACTTTCCTCAAGGCTAAATAGCGCAATATTAAGGTAGAGACCCATACCCCTACCTAGACTAAGATAAACCCCTTAGGTCACCCTAGTAAGAGTTGACTTCATTATTTCATTTTACCTTTGAGAACATCTTGCCTTAACCGACATAGACCACATGAGTTAATGTGGAATCCAGTGTCAATGGAACCTTACACCGAAAGAAGGCGGACTACTTTCCAAGGTAGTACCAAAACATGAAAATAACATCTATCTGGATCCAGTAGCTAGTATTCCTATAGGGGCAACATAGTTCAATAACTAGGAGATGTAGTTGGGACCCTCTTTGTTGTACATGAATTATAGTATTCAATATCATGATTGCATTAGTGATTCTATCTTCCCTATGTGGGAAGGGACACTCCTCACTCTAATTCACTCGGTGCTAAGCTAGAGTCCCTTTTGACATGTCTTTAAGCCTTTATTAATCATCATAGCTTAGTTTAATCATATGTTCTATCCCTTATATAGTCATCATAGTTCAATAGGAATTTCATAAGTATTTTCATTTCATTACAATTCACACATGTGAGGTTAGCACATTTATATAATCACATTATGATAAGGCACATAGGTAAGTCATCGCCATCCTAATATCATTACATCTTAGCCAACAACTCACAAGATTCAAGTAATTCCAATTCAACATTATACCAACTCTAATCAATCTTATCACAAGGTATACTTCAATATAACTTCATCACTAAACACAATCAATCAAAATTGAAGTAAAGGATTGAGATCACAAGACTTACCCCAATCTCCTTCACAATCCATCAACAAGGTTTTACCATCAAACATCAAATTCTACCCAACAATGGGTGTAATATCATCATACATTATTAATCAACAAAATAATGAAGTCAATTGGATCACTACACAACCATTCATCACTAGTTCATAGCCTATGGTTAGAGACTTAAGTCAAATTCATGATCTACTTCACTAACAAGGTTAATTCATCAAGAACTAGTATAATTGAATCATAATACGTCATAATCTAATCATAATAATTTAAAAAAATCATAAATAAAGCAATTTCAAAGACCAAGTTAGTAATAGAAGAAAACCCACTAGAAACTCATCTTTTTGAAACCAATTTGGAGGAACCCTTTGGGGAAAGGAATCCCAAAGGTGAAAGGAATCCCTTACCTTGTTAATTTATGGATAAGGGTGAATAAAATTACCTTTTTTTCTACCATTAAACCTTTCCCTATCCTTCAATGGAGTTCATCTATTAGGGAGAGAGACAGAAGAGACAAGGAGGAGCAATTGAATTTTGGGAATTATGAGAGTTGGGTTTAGTTTAATTAGGTTTGTAGTCTTTATAGAAGTCATTAACTTACTTAATTAGCACTCGTCACACCATTCTATCCCAAATAATGTTCTCTGATTCCTTGACACTCCTCACACCATTGTAAGCCTTAGGTTATGGAACCTTCATTCTTATGGGGCCAATTGTTCTTTGCAACGCCCAACGTAGTAGAAGAACTTCACCATGCAGGTCTTCCTTCTCCCTTTAAACAAGTTCCATTTCTTTTTGGGTAGTGTCATGTTTGTCTGCATATTCTTCCTCTAACATCAACACTTTTTTGGTGAATACCTCTTTTGTCAAGGTTACTTCTGCCTTCACTATTTTAATTTGAGTGACCAGTTCAACTAAGTCTTCCCCATCGTTTGTTCCACCAATTAGTGCTTTCTATCGTGTCACCCTCTCCCACAGTTGAGCATTTTCGCCAGCCATAGAATAATCTAAGGAACGATCCAATACCAAGTTGTTAGGTGGGAAAACTACTCTACCTTAATTTCGTGCAAGAAGTTGGCCCAACCTAATAGCAGTCAAGTGTAACTTAATTCATCCCCTATCACAGCCTATTCTGCCTAACGTTCAAGGACGTTTCTCTTTTTTTATGCCTTAAATTATTTTTCAGAATTTA